CCAAAAGACTAAGGTCTGACAGACTTGGCTTTTTAGCTGCTGTCCTCTCTGAGCTGTGGAAGAGTAACTGCAGAGTTGCTTCCAAACAAAACAGTGATTATTTTCCAAAAGGAATGTAACACATAGAGAAATGCATTAAATGACAGAATCCTACTTCTGCTGTAATTAAGCAGAACTTTAATTCAGGTAGGTCCAGTCTGTTTCAGATTTTCTAACTCTTGAGAGCTGCGAGAGTGTCTGTTTACATCACATGAATCCTGCTCACAAGGAGACCGTGCTGGAATGAGTTGCACTTCTAAGTCCTGGACTTGGGCTAATTTTTAAGCATCTGACATTGTTAACAGAGCCTTTTTGTGTGCTAGCCTGCTGACAATGTTTCTTCCCTTCTGTCCTTGCCAGGTGAGCTGGCAAGGAGAAAAATTCAAGCATTAGTGTATATTGTTAGACATCAGAGAGTCAATGTGGAGTGACAAGTTGCAAATACCTCAAGCTCAGGGTAAGCTTCAGTCAGAGCTTTGATGTCTGAAAGCTCAGCTGTAGACAATGAAGCCCACAGAAATGGAGGTTTCTGTTTTTCCACTCAGAAATGTCTTGGAGTTTTGCCTTTTCTACCTTGTTCAGTTAACAGTTCTTTCAGATTACAAGTCATATACAAGAAAGCAGCTTAGGCAAATCACTTGTGAAAGTAACAGTGCTATCCGTACTATGTGCTCTGTTTTTCAATGGTGGTGGACAGTTGCACCTGAAAGATGGCAGCCTCAGGGATTCCGTTTTTAGGAGACAGATTTTACTATTTCACCTACCCACTGCATGAACAGATACACTAGGAATTAAGGTTGTAACAGTTTCACTGTTTGCATTGAATTTCTCTTGTTTGCTTGTTGTTGTTTCTTCATTTTAAGCTGAATTCAGTTTTCATATTTATGAATGCATTCAGTTGAATACATTGATCTGAAAATGTTTTTGTTTGTTGAGAAAGTATGATTTGGTTGCATCCCCTGCCTGTAAAATAGGTGACCATGCATACAGCTATAATGCAAGCAGAGAATAAATGTGTCAACACAAGTTATGTATAAAATCATTCATTGTCCACCTCTGTATTCCCTTGAGTCCCATGGTCTAGTTGTAGGCATAAACTGTAACTTAAACCTTTTTTCTACACAAATAATGCATCCTTGCTAATTGATGCCTGACATTAATATCATCACAGGGAGAATAACAGATGCAACAGTTAAAGCTGCATTCCTTGAAAATATTTCAAAAACTAGATCTAAATGCAAAAATGCTGATGACTGAAATATTCTCAGGGAAGGGAGTCCTCTTCATTAAACTGTTCTTTGAGAGATAAAACTTGTTCCTCATCCAATAAATCAGATGTGGATTTCCTTGTACCATAAAACATTTTTTGTGATCATCATGTTTTCATATCCATCACAAAGTCATTGAACCTCCACCCTGCAATATGGGTTGGGGTGAGTCTGGAAATATGGCCCTCCCAGGACTAGTGATACGATATCCGATTCTGTCAGACTTATTTCCAGAATTTTTTTTGTGAACTTACACTGCCAAAATATTATTTACCTAAAAAATTAAAAATCAGTAATTACCTGCAAAAGCTACCATTTCTATAGATTTGCAGTATACCTAATGAATCTTTCAACGAAAAGCAATTCCACTTTCTACACATGTATCTCTCTTCCTCCAAACGTGCAGAGCAATTACAACAGAACAGGGGCTAACCCAGCCCTAGGTCTGAATTTCATCCCTAGAAAGAATTTTGACCAATACAAGTTCAAAGTAAAATCCTTGTGAACATAGATTTGGTATGGTATGTTCAGTAGCTGCTTGAACATCCTTATATTGTAAGGGAATACATTCATAGCTGTGTGGTGTCTGTTTTCATGTGATGTGGAAATAAGCTTAGATCAGTGGAGCACAGCTGTTTCATACCAGCTGAGAAACCAGCTAGCTGGAATTTTACAATGAAACTTTCAGTCCTAACTAGTGTATATGTAAAACACTGTAGTGGCTTTGGTGAGAAATCTTGAGTGCTGAATTTGATTACTGTCTCTTGAGATCCTAAGTCGTGGAGAAAGATGGTAACAGGGCCTTCGTCTTTTCTTTAAGTGCGGTGCTGCCACTGAAATGAAAGCGTTTCTCAGGTTACAGTAAAGACATAAAGAGAATTAAAATTGATAAGCCAAACAATTTGGCAAATGTTAGTTTGTAACTTCACAAAAAATAAATCTTTGGGTACACAGGGAGGTCCGTGCCTCTTAAACTAGAGTCTAGATTAGAGCTCAATGCTGTAAGGGTCTGGGGAACTTGAGGATGCGTTCTTCATCTGCTACTCAGGGATAACGTGCCCATCTTTACATCTTGGCGTGGAGTATGATCCAGCCTCCCTCTCCATCTGCTAGGGAGGGGAGGGGAGCAGGCTCATGGTCTGCTCCCTGTTGCTCCTCAGCATGATGCAGTATTTGGCCTGCCCTGACCATCCAGCAGGCCTATGTTGCAACCTTTTTGGCATTTTTTTTTTTCTTCTCTAGTGTTTGCTTTCACTATGAGGCCTAAAAGATGACCTGTCATAATATTCTTCCATCTAAGTGGCTTTACTTTCTGGGAAGTTTCTCAAAAAACGAATTTTTATTGTGACCAAAAATTATTTGCAGTTAAAACTATGAACTCTACATCCTGAGATGACAGAGAAATGAGTTCATGTCCTCTCTTCTTTTTCTTTTCTTTTTTTAATGCCAAACATGCTGTCGTTTGTGCACAGTCAATGTCCGAATAGCTGAGTAGCTACTTAGAGGTGTTATGTTTTTGTAGCTACAATATCAACTGAGTTCATTATAATTGAGTTGGACTTCTTAACGTTTGACCTTTCCCAGCTGAAACCTTTATTAACACTTGTCAGTTTGGAGGCCTGGCAGTCCAGACAGTGACCTTTATTCTGCTGCTGTCTTAGGCAGGGTTTATCACTCTGACAGAACCTAATTAAAACAGAAAAAAATAATCAGTGAGTGATGTCAGTGAGAAACGGAGAACCAGAGTACAAGCTTTTACTGGCCACAGTACATCTATAACTAGCTGCAGCTCTTCCTTTTTCTTCACTGATGGAGGGAATGTTAGTCTGCCAGCCATTATTCATACTCAATGAGCAGAGATAATCTTTCTTAATCCCTTAGAGGGGTTTCTTTGCAATATGTTCATTCTGAACTTTAAATCACTATTTACATAGGGCCAGATTCTGTCATGCTTTTTCCTGCCAAATAGTAGCTTCCTCTGTTAAAAATGCAATAGTGAGTAAGGACAAGAATGAAGAGAAGTAGGCTATATGCTGGATCCTTAACTCATGAATCCAGCTATATGAATTTTCACCTGCAGTTAATTTTCTTCATAAGCAATGAGTTAAACTTTTCATTTTATTGTCAGATCTTTCCACTTAACCTAGATGAGCATGAAGGCCAATGGTCCTTTTTTGAATAAACTGGAGAACTACCTGCAAACTATGCAGTTTGGTTTGTGTTCTTTTTCACAGGTTCAGCTCCTGCCATTGAAACTAGGAGTTTTGTGGCCATCTCGGTGCCACTAGCATCAAAAATTTAGTGGGCTCTTTCAGCTGCTGTCTCAGTGTTCATGATTCTTGCTAGAAATTTATATAATCAGTTAAGCAAAACACTGCTGTTCTTGCCTTTGATATTTTAATAATCCACAGACTGCGGCAAAGTCAGTACTATCCAGATAGCCAAATTTAGACATGCTTATCCCTTAAGGTCAGAATAGTTCTTACATTAGCTTGTGCCAGACCATTAACACAAAGAGAGAATTCTCTGTGCTTTGCACCTCTGTTTAGCTGTTAAGGTCTCTTCCTTAACAGAGTGAAGAAGCTCTAGTGCATTACCTGTTTCTCATTTTCTGAAGTTCTTGGTGAATCTCCACCCCTCTTCTTCCAATTCTGGCTTATTTTTTGTGTATGTTACCTGTTTGTGAGATGAAGATTTGCTGGTTCTCATCAGTTTCTCTATATCTTCAAAGGTAGGTTTATTAAGTGACAGAGTTTTCAGGTCTAGCTTACTGTTTTCAAATTGAATTGTTTTCTTTACTTGGCTTGTTACAGTATTTCTGTTCTCATAAACCATCTCTGAGAGGTTGTAAATGATAGTGTTCCCCTGCAAGTTCCTGAAGAACAGTGGTAATATCAGCTGTCCTAGTTCTACACTGCATGAGACCTTTTCGTGCTGAATGTACATCATGTAGGCAGTTAAGGTGTGACAACCATAAAGAGGACACAAGGGAGCAAGGATCTTTTAAGACTTCAGTTCTTTAGAGAATCACTCTGACAGTAAAAAATATTATGTAATCAATTCTGCAGTAAAAAACATGGATGCTTCTAGTAAGTGTGACTTCAAAAAGGAGATGCAATAGAACATCAGCTTCAGTCATTTGAATCTATGCAGACACTGAAACTGAGGATGTGTAAGAACAAATCCCTGGTAAATCTCAAAGAGTTAGTTCATGAAGTAAAGACACTTACATGTAAAAGGATTAGATTATTTTAACTACACATTTCATTCAGTTTGTCGTACAAGATGGATTCTTTAGTTATGGTGTTAGATTTGTATAAACTTTTCCCTTCCTGTTGTTGCTGCCTTTTTTTTTTTTTTTTTTTGTATTGGCCACAATTGCAATTGTGTTATAAAGTATACGCAATTACGAATCGCAATATCACAAACTTGATAATAATAGTTATATGTGTGTAAGATGCTCTCATTTGATTTTTTCTGCTTTTTTTTTAAATGTATTTTCTGTTTTTTCTACTAATATACCAGAGACGTGCTGGATGAAAAATTTCTGAGATAATACTGAACTCTGGGAAAGAACCAAGAACAAGGGGAATGGAAGGGTTTTAACTTGATGTTGGTTATTTCAATGCATTTTGAACAAGAAACCCTTTTCCATGTTAATAATCTAACCCTTTCATATGTTATTGATTTTAGTTGATGAAGGAGTTTCCTCTGCTCAGCATGTTCAACATCCATGAAAACCTGCTAGAGGCTTTGTTGGAACTGCAAGCGTATGCTGATGTCCAGGCAGTCTTAGCAAAGTATGATGGTAAGTTCATGTATATATTTGTATTTTTTCTATATGGTACACACAGAAGCAATGTTTTTAAGTTAAACTCTTAAAATTTAGTAAACACTAATCAAGGTGTTTGGCACAAGCTTCATAGATCCACTTATAGTCCTTAATCCAAAGATTAAACATTGTGCATTTTTTTTCTGCCAACCCATGCTTAATTCATTGTACAGGGTAATGGAACTCACTCACTGGCAGCTCTTCAGTGCTTTCTTTGCTTTCTGTTGATGTTTAAAGAACAACTGTTTAGGTTCTGCAGACGTTTTATTGCATGCTGCTCAAACCTTGTCTGAAGAAAAGATTATCAGTTCCCTTGTGGACTTTTCTATGAATGTTGACTTAGTAGCATACAAGCGCTTTACAAACATTAATTGATTTAACTTCACAGCAGTCTAGTGAGTAGCGTACTTCATGTCTTATGGGGAAAACTTGGAAAGCTCAGAAGACTAGGTGAGCTTCTTGCATTAGTTTTCAGTATTTTTCAGTAAGCATTGGTTTATGCAGCATTGCATCACTTTTTATGTTCCAAGCACAGCTCCTGCTGACTCCAGCTCTAGCTCTTTGAACCTGAATGCAAGACACCAGGGTCTCAAACAGAGAAAGGACAGAGTAAGAAGTGCTAACTGGCATACTTTGTTTAGTTTAAGTTAAATGGGTTTTCCTTGTATTCTGTAGAAACTTAGTGACAGGAAGAGGAATACAATCCAGTACTCTTGAGCAATGTTCATCAGCCTGCACAGTGCCACTCTTCCTCCTCTTCCTGCAATCCCTGGCTTATTCACTCTCCGCATTCCAAGTTCTGCAACAAGTGAATCAGGAATCCTACAGCCATCAGTTTCCTGTCGTGTTACTGCACAGTCCTCATTCATCCTCAGAAAAGTCTCATTCTATGCACTGGAGTATGGAAGGGGAGTTTATGAAAAGAATATAGTTATATGTGTAATCATATAACTAAAAATGAGATCTAACATGCCTGAATCAAATAGCTGAATTAAGTTAAACAGGTAGCCTTAATTTTCATGTTTCTTAACTCTTTCTCTAGGTTGATCTTGTAGCCTCTAAAATGTTCTTCATTACTAGCTCTTACAGCCTTTCTGGTGTTCTTTGAACAGAGATTTTGAGGCTTATAACTTACAAATTTTTTGAAAAGATTGGTGGACATAATTTGAGGTACTGTTGTATAAATGACTGCCATTATGGGCTCTGGAGACTATATCCGCAGTGCTTTGACTACTCTTTCTCACTGATTCTGTGAAGGATTTAGCATCCTTTCCAGCCTGCCCTTAGTTGATCTTCTGTCCTATTTGTCTACTCAGTTGTCTTCTACTTCCCTCTTGCATGGTCAGTTTCAGCTTTCTAGTCCTCCCAGTTCCTACCAAAGGCTCCTTGTTCAGCTGGTACCACTCATTCCAAATTCCATTATTCTGCCTCTCCTAACTACCTAGCCAAATCTTCTCTTCAGGGCAGTGATAGTCATGATATATCTCCTCATCGGCTTTCCAACTCCTGTCTTACCAGACATCTTTTCCATCTACCCTTTTCTCTGTGGCTTCTGTGTCCTCTTTGACATTTTCTGCTGCATTGCCTGGATGCCAAAAAGCAGAACAGTAAGACCCCACACAGACAGAGCCTCCTTGCTGTCAGCCCCAGTACTTGATCCCATATCATCACATGGAACAGTCGCAAGGAAATGATGCATAAGTTTACTGAAGTACTGAAATGTGTGTACTCGATGAGAAACGAATCTTTGGAGGGTATAACCAAAAATATTGCAGGCACTTCCACTGAATATGTGCTAACTGCTTTCTTTTAGCATCTTATAACTTTGGAAATTCAGATGAATTTTAATGAGGCTGGCAGTAGACCATTGGCTTGATACTAACATGGTCATCCTGCCACCTATCAAACCCCTGCAGTAGACTATGGCAGAGCCAAGGTTATTTAACAAAAGATAAGTAAGCAGCTGATTACAGGTAACATTAGTGATAATCACTGCTACCAGTCCCGCTTGGAATGTTTTCAACTCTTTCTGGAGTTAGATCGTTCTGAACAGAGATCAGAACGTCACCCAGACCCGTGAGTACTGCTGTCCAGTAGCAGTAATGACTCTGGGAGACAGCTTGGTTTTGCTTAGTCTGGTTGAAGAAATCTGTAGTTAAAATGGTAATATCAGAGTCTTTCTTGTAGCTCCTTGTATTTCAGTAATTCCTGTGACACAGGTGTAGATCCCCATGGACTTGATTTTGGCACATTAAGAAGCAATTAAATAGAAATGCCCATTTTTATGCCCCAGGCACCACAGGACGTTGGCACCTTCTGGTCTTTAATGTAATAATGAGATAGTAGTCCTGGGAGGTAGCAGAACTGTGACAGAACAGGGAATTAAGCCATGCCCTCCCAAATCTCAGGCTGAACTCCTGTGCCAGCTCTACTTTTGCATACTAAAGCACTGATCCCTGTTTTTAAACAGTACCATGGTGGCACTTTATGTCATGGAAGTTGATAAAACTTGAAAGTGTTTTTTGTTTTCTCAAAAGCATCTCATAGAGTCAAACCTGAGGTCATACATGTGACAAATGAGGCTTTTCAAACTCTTCTTACTTTGTCTGTTTGACCCTATGCAGTTTCGACTCACACTTTGCCGTATATAAGCAAAGGTGTGCGTATACACTAGGTGTGCATAAGGACTCAGCAAATACAGGCTTAACCAGTATAACCCTTACAGTTCATGAGTCTCAGAAGGCCCATCTCAGGGAGTCTCAGCTCATTTTAGAACTCATCAGCTTCATGTGTTGTAAGATTTATTGGAACACAAAACAATGAACTCATTTATACTTTCCTATCTGCAGTTTCTGTTGGTCCCACTCCACTGCCGTTTTTTGACTAAGACCAAGCCTGATTTATTGTATTTTGATAACATATGAACAAATTATTTCCTTGAGCAGTCTGCCCCCACCCTGGGCTAAAAATTTGGATCACATTATGTGAAACCTCAGCTCTGCAAGCAGACACACTGCTTTACCAAAAGCCATGTGTTAAATTGTGTTTATATTATGTACCTGGCAACAGAGCTTGATGTCCATACTCATTATTCATGGAAAAAGGGCCTCATTAGTGGGAAGGCATGCACTGTTGCTGAGCTACATCATTATGGTCTCAGAGTTCAGTGCCTGTCAATAGAGTGCAGATGACCTAAATACTGTTGAATTCTGAAAGGGTTTTGGCTCTCATTTAACACATATCTATGTTGTTTACAGCAGAAATAGTTATGGCTGCTAAAGAGACTGGTTTTGAAGGAATAAGCTTCTGGTATTCATATTAGATAAAGTTTCTCTGCTCCTCTTTCCTTGCTTTTAAAACTGATTGTTTTCCAGTGGAGTAGATCTGCTTGTTGTGATGCTTAGAGCAAATGATTTACTGACTTCCCTGGGCAGCCAGTTGCATTGATTGTTGTTATCTGGTAACCTAGGCACTATGTGAAAACTCAGCCCTTTCTGGCCATCGAAAGTCATATTTAAAAAGAACGGATGCCTATGTATTTAGTCATAGTGATGCAGTAGTTCCTTCCTAAACCTGTCCTTGCTTTCCGTTTTTTCAAATGACAGTGTTTTCCAGTGAGACTATAAGCCTTCTGATTTGCAGGAGCAACACCTTTTACAGATTCCCCTTTCACTTACCCTCTTGCAAAGGAGAAAGACCATGTAAACAGTCTCAAGTTCAAAGTTCACCTGTGAAGACAACTTAGACCAAAGGATACATAGAAAGAAAGTGGTTTTTAAATACAAAAGGTCTCATTCTCCTCTAGGCGGTGACTTTTTTTAGTTTGGTAATGGCTTACTTCAAAGAATCGTCCTTCAAATTAGTTTCAAATCAAAATGCACGCCATTGAAGAAATACTTTATAAACAGTCTTCTTTGTCTTGAAATACTTTCAATTTAGTGAAATCCAAACAGTTAATGTAGAGAAATCAGTTCTCCAAAATGTAGCCTATTCAGGGCTACTCTCGTTTCTCCAGTTCCCCTCTGTCCCGTTTCTTCTTGTCCTTACAGACTTACAAAACGGGTAAATTCTGCTTACATTGAACTGGAAGGCACTCCTTTTGTACAGAGTTGCAGATGAACCAATTGCATGGAATCTTCAGTTATATTAGCTACGGGCTTTTGTGTTTATATATATCTCACAGCTCCACTCTGTCATTTCATTACTTGCCATAATTGTGTTTGGTATTTTTGAGAAGGAGTTCTGCCTGGTGGAGCTGACCAAGTAGATGTTCTAAGTGCAGGAAAGTATCTTCTTCCGAGTTAAAGATGTAGCAAATGGCAGTATGGAAGCAACCATTACCTCATGCACACAAAATATTTTATAATCATAGAATCATAGAATCATAGAATGGCATAGGCTGGAAGGGACCTTAGAGATCATCTAATCCAACCTCCCTGTCATGGGCAGGGATGCCTCTCAACTAGATCAGGCTACTCAAGGCTCCGTCCAACCTGGCCTTGAACACCTCCAGGGAGGGGGCATCCACAACTTCTCTGAGCAATTTATTCCAAAGTCTTACCACCCTCGTACTGAAGAATTTCTTCCTAAGATCTAATTTAAATCTGTTCTCCTTCAACTTAAACCCATTTCCCCTTGTTCTATCAGTGGACACTCTTGTAAAAAGTCCCTCCCCAGCCTTCCTGTAGGTTCATTGTAGGTATTGGAAGGCAGCTATTAGGTCCCCCCGAAGTCTTCTCTTTTCAAGGCTGAACAATCCCAACAAGACCGCAACCTGTCCTCATAGCAGAGGTGCTCCAGCCCTTGGATCATCTTAGTGGCCCTCCTCTGAACACGCTTCAACAAATCTGCAGAGGTGCTCCAGCCCTTGAATCATCTTAGTGGCCCTCCTCTGAACACGCTTCAACAAATCTGCAGAGGTGCTCCAGCCCTTGGATCATCTTAGTGGCCCTCCTCTGAACACGCTTCAACAAATC